ATTCATTCATTCATTTGGTGAGAAAGACTGGCCCTGAGCGAATACCTCTGACCAATCTTCCTCTTTTTGCTTGAGGAGGAGTGGCACTGAGCTAACATCTGTGCCCATCTTTCCTCTATTTTATATGTGGGATGCCTCCACAGCATGGCTTGATGAGTGGTGTAGGTCTGTGCCTGGGATCTGAGCCTGTGAACCTTGGCTGCTGAAGTGGAGCGCCCCGAACTTAAGCACTACGCCGCACGGCTGGCCCTGGATTTATTTTTAATAGTGCTCTATATATTATGGATACATGCTTGTTGTCTGTTAGCTATCTTAAAAATAATTTTCCCAATTTTTTGTTTCTTTTTAGCTTTGCTAATGGTGTCTTGCTTAGTAGTTTTACATTTTTGTTTAGTCAAATCTGTCGATCTTTAAATTTTAGGGCTTTGAGCCGTGATAAGAAAGTCATTTCCTACTCCAAGATTAAAAAATATTTTCCTATAAATATTTTGTTCTAATACTTTTATATTTACAGTTTTAAAAATCCATCTGGCATTTATTTCGTTGTATCATATCAGGTGGAAATCTTATCTTTTTTCTCATGTTAATATCTGATTGTTCCAATATAATTTTTATTTAATTATCCTTTCTCCCCTGATTTAAGATATCACTTTTGATCCTATACTAAGTTTCTGTAGTACCTAGGTGTATTTCTGGAATTTTTGTTATGTATCTTTAATTATCTATTTCTGCACCAGGATCTCACTTTTTGCTTTTTGTAGTTTTATGGTATGTAGCATAATATTCCTCTTCATTATCTTCTCTTTTTCAATATTTCTTAGTTTGTGTGAATTTATGCTTCTGGATGAACTAGTCAAGTTTAAAAAAAATCCTAGAGCCTAAGACATGCATGAAAAGATGCTCTCACTCATAGTTAAAGAAATGAAATCAAAACAAAAATTATATTTTTCAACTATCAGATTGGCAGAAATTAAAAAGTTGATGATATCCAATATTTGTGTAGGTGTTGGGAAAACAGCATCTTCTGCTTTGTAGGAGCATAAATTTTTTTGTAGGGCAAAAAATTTTCAAAATAGGTTTGATAATTTTTCCATCCAAATTAAATTTATATATTCTTTGACTCAACATATATATATCTTTGCAAAAGTGTGTGTAGATAGATATTCATTGCAGCACTCTTTATAATAGCAAGCAATGACGTCAATAACAACAAGCCTAAAAAACCTGAAAATTGCTTAATGTGTATTGGTTAAATTATAGCTTGTCCATAGAATGGAATATACACTTATTAAAATGGGTTAGGTAGATCTGATATGTTAGGTGAAATCTGCAAATTATAAACATTAAATATAATAATCATTTTGTGTGAATAAAAACCTGTTTGTAGACACAAATATTCTAAATTGTGTAAACATTTTTTTTCCCTGGAAGTGTTCATAAGAACGTTAATAGTAGCTACTTTTTTGGATAAGACTATTGGTAGTGGTAGGGGTGGAAGGACTTTTACTTTTTATTTTAAATCTTTCTGACCTGTTTGAATGTAATTAAAGAAAAGTGTCTGCAATCCTGGTATTAGGCTATTTTTGTTTTCTTTATGCTTTTCACTGTTTAAAAAATCCCAATGGAACTTTGATTGTCATTTCATTGACTTTATGGAATAATTTGGGGAGAATTGGCATTTTTGCAATATTGATTATTCACATCCAGCAATATATCATATTTCTTTCTATATTCAAATTTTATGTTTTTTGGTAGCGTTTTATAGTCTTTGTGTAAGCCTTAACTATTTCTTGATGAATTTGTTTTTCAATAGTTTTAGTTTCTGTTTTCAACAAGATCTTTTAACATTACATTTTCTAGCTGATTATTAGCAGTTACCTGAAAGTTGTTGATTTTCTGATTATTATATATTTGGACATGTCACAGAATTTTTTTAGTTCTAAGTTTGGTTAGTTGATTGACTTGGATTTTCTGGGTATACAATCATGTTATATTATAGTACTTTAAAACTTTTGTTTCAGATTCCTCAGTTCCTTTTAGATGACTGCTTTAAAAATGGTATCCCCTGCCGTATATTTTGTACTCAACCAAGACGATTAGCAGCTATTGCTGTGGCTGAAAGAGTTGCTGCAGAGAGAAGAGAAAGAATTGGTCAAACAATTGGGTATCAGATCCGATTAGAAAGCAGGTAAAGATGATTCTCCTGTAGCCTTTTATCATTCTTAAAAAAGACTAGATGTTTATATTTCACTAAATATAGAGAATGTGTTAGTTGAAAAGTTAGATGATCATTTTGCTTCAAGTAAATCTATAACAGGACGTTGAGGTCATGTCTAAACTTAGTGAGGTTTTGAATAAATAAATAGTTTGAGAAAGAGTCTGGCCCATAGATATAAATCCCATTTCATAGTGTCATGATCAAATACAAATTATTTCACCTCATTGAGCCTCAGTTTCTTCATCTATTAAATGGGGCTAATAAAAGCATCTAGAGTGCAGGTTTGATGTTAAGTTTATAGTAAGCATTGAATAAATGTTAGTGACTGAATTTATTATTATTATTAGTAGTACTAGTAGTACTTTCTTGATGAGTAGTACTATTTCTTTGCTCTCAATGGTTTGACTATATTGATTCAAAAAGCTGATCTCATTTATAATATACTTTTTCCCTGAAGCAAAAATGTTTAAGTTCTTAAAAAAAGTCTGTTTATGGTTCTTTTTTTAGGAAGATTGGCCCTGTGCTAACATCTGTTGCCAATCTTCCTTTTTTTTCTTTTTTCTTCCCAAAGCCCCACTACATAGCTGTGTATCATAGTTGTAGAGTTGTAGCTCTTCTATGTGGGATGCCACTTCAGCATGTCTTGATGAGCAGTGAGTAGGTCCACGCCCAGGATCCAAACCGGCGAACCCAGGGCCGCTGAAGCAGAATGCGTGAACTTAACCACTACGCCGCTGGGCTGGCCCCTACTTATGGTTCTTTAACAAAATAATCATTTTATTAATTAAAGGCTGTTAGTAATAAAAAATTTGTGAGATTGTCAGGCATAAAATACATATTTCACGTAACTTTGCTAATAAAGCATACGTACTGGTATACTATTATATTAGTAACTTTAAGTAACATTTTAAATACATACGATACTAGCATTTAAAGTGATCATGTTTTAATTACATATAAGATTTGTAATTCTGCACTTTATTTTGATTTTTCAAAAAGGGTTTCTCCAAAGACACTTCTGACATTTTGCACTAATGGAGTATTGCTTCGTACATTGATGGCAGGAGATAGTACATTGTCAACTGTGACACATGTTATTGTGGTAAGAATATTGCCATATATAACTCAGATTGCTTAAAATTTAATATGTGATTACAGTTTTAGAATAGGGTATAAGTGAGAACCAATTTGTTTTTTTGAACAGGCTGTTATAATCGTTACTTTTTATTTTTTATAATTATTAGAAATAAATATTTTGTATTAAATAAAGATATTCTTACCATCAAGTTTTGTGAGGGAAAATAAAATAAGTAGATAGTTTTTTTAAAAAGTGCTTTTTATATATGAAAATGATACATATGCTCAGAGTTCTCCAGAATGGTAAAAGTTTTCTTTTTTCTCTGTGCTTAGTCATCTGATTCCTCCTTTAACTAATATGTATTTCCCAGTCTTAGGGGCATACTTTATAGTCATTTAACTTCATGGTTAAGTTGCTAAATTAAGTAGTTGCTGATGAAGTAAGTAGATGAATTACCATCTTATTAAAGAATTCTAAGCTTTTATCCAGTTCACGTCAGAAAAAAATTAGATTGTTTTATAAGCTTGCAATAAGCAGCTTTTGGAAACTTATTAGTTCCTGGTAGTCAAACCAAAGGATGCACCTGAGCCCTGATGCTAACAGAAGCATATTTAAATAGATTTTGTATGTATTAAAAGTGCAATTAATTAGACTCCACTAATTCAGAATTTGTTGCAGTTTGTGGGTTTTATATTCTGCGAAAAAAATGATAGTACTTTGTTACCCATAATAGGTTGTTAATGTCTGATTATTTCTGAATTGTTCATAATACAAAATTTTTGCTAATACTCATTGGCCTTGTCCATGTTTAATTTGGGTTAGTGTAAAACCCAGCCGCTCCATAATTTTAAAGACTTAATAATCCATAATGTTTTAACTGTTCCGTGGTTTTATTTTTGTTTACTGCAGGATGAAGTACATGAAAGGGATCGATTCAGTGATTTTTTACTTACAAAGTTAAGAGATTTGTTGCAGAAGCACCCAACTTTGAAACTAATTCTTTCTAGTGCTGCCTTGGATGTAAATCTTTTTATACGATATTTTGGAAGTTGTCCAGTGATATATAGTAAGTTAAATTATCAGATTTCTTCTAGGATTTTTATGAAAGAATACTTTTTGACATGATTATATTTATTGTAATAGGAATTGGGGAATATTGTGAAGTAGAGGGCATCTATTTCTGTTTCCTCTGAGATATGCTTAATCAGTCATCTTTCTGTAGTTTCATCCTCTCCTTTTCCATCTACAACTCTTGGCTATTGTGTTTGAGGCCAATTCTCTAGTCTTAAAAGGAAATATGCTTTATTTTGGCCTTGTATTCCCCTTTAACTCTGTCCTGTAGATTTCTCTTTATTGCTGGACTCCTTGAAAGAGTAGTGCACACTCCCATGTTTACTTTACATCTACTTAGGAATATGCTGCCACTGAACTTTTGTCCTTAAGTCAAAACTGATTTTGCCACTATTCTTTAAAAAAATTATTAAATTCCTTTTCAAAAATTGAAAAAGTTTTGTGTTCACCTCAATAATACAATATAAACATATATATGAAAAAAGTTCACAATTGCCCCATCCTCTTTTTATTTCATGTCCTATTTTCCTGACATTACTTGATATTAAAGCCTAGTGTATATCCTTTCTCATCTTACTCATGTTCATACAACATTTGCAAATATATACATATATATTAGGTTTATAGAAATTGATTTTACAAAAATGAGCACATGCCTTATACATTGTTTTGCAATTTGCTTTATTCATATGATAGTACATCATGAACAGTCCTGAAGTTCAGTAGCTCCAGATGTGGTTCATTATTTAAAGCACCTGTTTTAATATTTCATAATATGAATTACCATGATTTATTTAACCATTTCTTTATTTTTGGACATTCAGGTTGGTTCTAGATTCTCTCTCCCCCCGACCATGAACAGTGTTGTAATGAACATCCTGTACATATATCCTTATATACTGCTTTTATTTCTAGGAATAGATTCCTGAAAATGAAATTGTTAAGTAAAAGAGTATATCTTTTTAATTTTAACAGGTTTTGCCATTTTACTTTTTCAAAAGGCTGAAATGATTCACATTTCTGCAGTGTATGGGGCTGTTCATTTGTGCGTTCTTGCCAGTATTGTTTTGACACTGATTTAATTGCCAAGCCTACTATTCAAATTTTACACAAAAATCTTACTTAAATTTTCTATGGTATTTCTCGTGTTTGCCCCCCCACCCCCTCCCTTTTTTTGGTGAAATGCTCAGATCCCATAAATTATTTGACAACACTGCCTTCTAAGTCTCATTCTACATTATAGCCTGTACTTTCGTGCTCTCCTTTGTGGGCTTCTTTTCTTTTGCATGGTGCTTAAATATTGGTATTTTCTAGGATTATTCCCTTGAGCCATATTTTTTTCTCTTCCTTACTCACCTTCCCCTCCTTCCTTTCTTTCTTTATTTTTCCTCTTCTTTCCTGCTCTGTGCTATACTCTAAGTACTAGAGAGGCACAGTTAGTTTCCCTGGAAGTTCTCATGCCCTTGGCTTCTGCTTTCTCTCTCTTTTTTTTTTTTATAATTTTATTTATTTATTTATTTTTTTCCCCCAGAGCCCCAGTAGATAGTTGTATGTCATAGCTGCACATCCTTCTAGTTGCTGTATGTGGGACGCGGCCTCAGCATGGCCAGTGCATCGGTGCGCGCCCTGGATCCGAACCCGGGCCACCAGCAGCGGAGTGCACGCACTTAACCGCTAAGCCACGGGGCCGGCCCTGCTTTCTCTTTTATGCCCATGACTCCTGAATCTTTATTTCCAGTTCAGACTGTTCTCCAGAGCTTTGGACTTAGATATCTTATAAGCAGCTCACTTCTAATATGCCCCCAAACTGAATACTTAATCTTTTTTTTACAAAATCTGCTTCTCTTGTGTTGCCTGTTTTGATTAATCATACCATCAACCTACTCATCTCAGTTACAAACCTGTGAGTCTTTTTCTTCTCATAATATTCCTGGATGATAAGGCACATAAAATTTTATACATCTGCTAATTGAAAGCTCATTTTGGCACCTCACTTTTTTTTTTTTTTGAAATTTCAAACCTTATTTCATCTGCAAATATAGGTTGCCTGGAGTTAGGTATTCTGATCTAATACAGTATTGCAAAGTCATTTTATAATTATTTCTTTTTTTCAAAGATTAT